TGATCCTTGGACCAGGAAGGGAAAAACAGCACCTTTATCACAGTCGCATCAACAGTCTTGACTTTTATACACGATACAAGAATACCTCTTAATTATCACTGACACCAACACAGTGCCTGTTAGAGCACAGATTGTCGATTCTCTGTCACTCCACATGAGAATGTTTTTCTGTGAGTGTTAATGTCATGTATCACCCCACACTTCTGTTAACACCCTAAACGTGTTCTCTCCTCAAGTAAGAAAGTGTTAGCAGTGCTCACCTCCCCGCCCTGCTCTCTTTTGGGATGCGGAGAGGCCGACTCAGCCTGTCAGTAGCGATGATAAGAAACATGATAATGGACGAGCAGTTTGTAGGCTTGTGAGGATATGATGTAACCGCACTGAGCCCCATCTCAAGCACGCTCACAACTTGAGATAATCTGCTGGACAGTGGGCAGACTGATGGCTGAGGATCTATCTCACACGCTCGCATGTCCCTAAGGAAACAGCGTTCAGTGGAAAAGAGTGACCTTTGACCTGTAGTGGTGAAAGACCGCTGTTGACAGATATAGTATACCTGTGAGAGTTTTTTTGTGTTTGGTTTGTCTGCGGGGGGTTTTGTTTCTGGATCGTAGCCCGGACCAAGTCAGAGCTTCTCTGCTGGCAAAATTCTGCTCCGCCGGCTCGCCTCTGGTATCGTTATGAACAGCTCTGCCCCTAGATAAACATGTATGCACACAAGTGAATTGTGTAGATACACACATGGAGGGGTGTAAGCACACATGGCACATCCAAACAGTGACTTCATTGTGCTGTCTCTCACAGGGGTACATTTTCTCCCAGGGCAGAGTATGAAGGAGGGGCAGATGGAGTGGCAGTGCTGCGAGTGAAACCGGAGCTGCCTGAGGAATGCAGGGGGTGTTCGAGGAGAACTAGAGTTTAGTGGGTGAAGGAGGGGGGTGACTTAAGGGGTAGGATGGGTGATTAGGGGGTGACAGCTGAGTGCTGACCCCTCGATAATGACAAATCATCTGGCAGGTGTGTGGCTCTGCAGCCCTCCCTCTTCTTCAGCTCCCATCATTCCCAGGCCAGGAATCTTCAGTTGCTGCTAGAGCGCTAAAGGAAGATTTCCGGGCATTTGTTCTGTCTAGCAGGCTCATGGCTTTTAGAAAGATAGGGCAAGCATTGTTCATATATATCCTGCCCTGTGTTTGCCTCCTGCTTTCTTTGTGCATTTGACACCCTGCTATAATAAACTTAACTAAACAGGCTGCAATTCTTAGATTAAGATGGGATGTGGTTTATTGATTTGTTTTTGCAGACATCTTTTCTTTTAGTTAGTTGTTTTAGCTGAATACAGAGTTCATCTCCCAAACAACCTGGAAGTCATTGTATGGTAGATCATGAATTATGCTGATGAAAGACAGAATGCATAAAGCTTGCAAACCTGTGAAAAGTTCAGTAAAAACACAAATGCTGACCACAGATCAGCATGAGTGATGTGAAAGCAGGCAGGTGCCAAGTTGAAGTGGCCCCCCAAAAAATGATGGTATATATATATATTTTAAATTCAGAATCCTTCTCTCTACTTTAATGGAAAACATGAGGTCAAAATAAAATGTTCAGAAATGAACACCTCTGACAATTATCTTGTGCAGGTAAATGCACGTCACCATCTTTTTTTTTTAAATTTGGAGCATTTTGTGCTTGAGGAGAAACCTTACTGTACAGAAATGCCTTTCTTAAGTTAGCTGTGGAATTATTTGAAAACTAACACATTTAAAAGGGTAAGTATAAGTAATAAAACTGGTGTCAGAGTTTGTCATTTGCATCACATGTGGTACATGTGCTGGAACGAAATTTTGTACACGGTCGCAGTTGCATCGAACAATAAAATGTAAAAAAAAAAGTAATAAGATCTAAGATATGAACTAAGAAAAACATCAACTAAAAATATACTAAGCACTAATAGCATAAAAACAATACGCCGAACAGCAGCACGAACTTGAGTCTGCATGAGCAGATGAGTACGAATGAACACAGAAACATGAAACAGATCAGCAGCAACATGAAACAGATCAGCAGCAACATGTTGTGATTTTTCACAGTGATTATTCTGGTTAGAGATTCATGAGTCTAACAGCCTCGGGGTAGAAGCTGTTCCTCAGTCTAGTGGTTCTACACTTAATGTTCCTCAACCTCCTTCCTGAGGGGAGCGGGGCAAAAAGTGTGTGTGCTGGGTGAGTGGGGTCCTTCATGATGCAGGTGGCTCTCTTCCTGCATCTGGAGGTGTAGATGCAGGAAGAGGGCCACCTGCATCATGAAGGACCCCACTGTAGTAAGAACATCATTTGACTTAAAATTTAGTTCATCTTCTTGTATTTATACATCATATATCATAACAAAATGCCATTTTAGCTTTTTTAAGCCATCAGGCTTGTGAGTGACAATACAAAGGCTTAAAGATCAAACCAAACCTCAAACTCTGATCCTACACTGAGTTTTGTTTAAAAGTGATTCAGATTTCTCCTGTGTACTGTGTCTCCTCTGCTCTGTGGTTTGCATGTTGATTAAGTGTCTCCTTGTTGAAACTGCTGCAGCAGCATTACAGGCCTTTTTTATTTCCATTTAGCCTTGACTTCCACAGCCTTTCTTAATCTAATTCCAGCCAACACATGCAGTCTAGACAGGAGGCCCAACGCAGCCTGCATCTCTGTCTGGTAACTGCCGTTTTCCCACCGGAGTCCCTGCCTCGTTACCATTTCTCTTCAAACGCTCCCCATCTCACTGCAGCATCGTGGATACAAACACAATGAGGAGCAACGCATTCTCATCTGAAAGTCACACTGAACCTGCTGGAACGCATCGCCACTTATCTTTTCACTTTATATTAGGGGCTCTGGTGCATTTCCCAGGCTGCAGAAGTTGGGAATTCCTTCAGCGTCCTATCAGGAATATCTGCAACCCTTATTAGCATGCGAACGAGACGCTGCCCAGGTATTCAGTGCCAACCCATGGGGAAATATGTATCAAGTTTTAAATAACTTGACCCAATTTGACTTTTTCAAATGGAGCAAGAAAATATCACTGCTGTTAAAATATTTATATATAAAAAAAGTGTGTTTTTTAAAAACAAGAATTTTTAAAAATTGAAATTACAGTAAAACTCATATTTTCCCGTTGTTGCAGTTTAACGCACACACACACTGTGTCGTTCATTTGTCTCCATCACCTGCACTTGTATGTTGCAGCTCCCCTGAAGCGACATAATGGGCCTGTGCAAAGTGACCCATATTTACCCAATAATACAAAGCTTTGAAAAGACCCATATCACGTTGCAGCTAATGTTCCAATGGGGCCCGCAGAGTGAAAGATGCTACTGGCCAAAACGTCTTAGGTTTCAGTGCCCTGCGAACAAAAGGTTGTCCAATCTTTTGGGAGAAAGAGGGGACGGCGTGATGGAGGGGGGGTGGGAGACCGTTGGAGAACAGTGGCAGTATAGAGTAAGAGGGGAGTGATGCATGTGTTTGAAAAGAGGGAGTTGGAGCTCGTTCTAAAATTGGAGGATGCTTTGTTTTTTTTTTTTGTCTGGGTTGTGTTAAAGCACATTAAAAGAAGTTCAGATCTGTTGGAAGTTGTCAGAATTGTCAGGTAAAGTTTTTTTTTGTCAGTCTCATGAACGTCAACAGCCGGTTTGAGGCTTTTACAGGAAGATGCGGATACAGGCGCCGAGTTAATGGAGCAGAACTGAACTAACCTTTGCTGTTCGGGGTGAGCGCAGGGATGGACAGGGTTGGTTTAAGAGAAGTGGGCTTGCGATGTTGATATACAAAGTTGATTTCCCCACCACCACCACCTATATTTTCCCCCCACTTCCCAGCCCCCACATCTACACCCTCTTCCTCCTTCATGTTCTCCTTCTACTCTCCCTCTCCTCAGGGGCAGGCAGGTATAAAGTTACACAGAGCTCTCAGCTTTCTTGGAAGGAATGACCACATGAGTAGCTTGGGGATTAGATTAGCAGGAAGAGCAGACTTAGCCAGGCCGTAAATAGCCCACTTTTTTTCGCCATTAAAAAGAGCCCAGTATAATATAATCAATAGATAGCACTCATCTAATGCAGGAAGCCATATGAGAAGACCTCCCTCAAGTGCTCTGAAGGACAGGCTACAGCAGCTTGGGCCTAATGAAGTTATTATTAATCACTACGCCTCCTGTTTTGAACTTGTGTGTTGTTTTTGTAGTGGGTGATGAGTGGTCTGATCTGATTGGCATTCATCGCCTTTGTCTCACATTCACCGTCTTATTTTAAGATCTTGGTGGTTTTACATTCATTTTACTTTACTTTTTTTAAAGGCGGGTTTAGTGGGTTGCAAAAACAAAGCGGCAAAATTATTTATCCAGCGTGTCGTCTGAGAAAACAACTTTTTTTTTCCCTCTTCGTCTGTCATCGATTCACATCCACCTCAGCTCTGTCAGTCTCTGAGCCTCCCCACAGGTGTTGGGTTACTCTGTAAAGCAGCTTGAATGGGTTTAGAAATCACAGAGAGCTGTCTGTGCTCCTGATACTCATTTTCCTTTGAAGTTTCCCTAGCTCAAAGGAACAAGAGGCTACAAAGTCAGACTTGTGTGAGGGCTTTAGACCAGTCTGCCAGAACTACAGCGCAAGACGGGGTCCAGTATCGGTGAGCAAGCCTTATTTGCTTGAGGACTTCACTCTTTAAGCTTTGCTGTGGGGAATAACCCGTTAAAGCGGGTGGAAACGTTGGTCTAAAACTCCTGTTTGCACGTTAAGAAAGCAGCATTAATGCTTGAGGAAACAAGATGTGAAGGCTTTAAGAAGTTTTAGCAAGACACATCTGTAAGTTATCCCACCTATTTCATTCAAGCACAAAGAGATGATAAAAATGACGTGTGGATTTAATGAAAAAGTACACTTAAATTCACTGGAAGTGTTTTATTTATTTTAAGCAGCTCTCACTAAATATTTCACTGCTGAGTAAAGGTGTCTGTGTTCTCAGGTATCTGAATCACGTGAGGGCCGCCTTGCCTCAGGACACAGCTGGAGGATACACGTCAGCTCTGGCGTGCTACCGAGCCATCCAGGATGCTTTCAGTGGGCTGTTTCCTCCAAAAGGCTGAAGCTGTCTCCCATCAGAAATGTGACTGAATGGACTTTAAAATACAGCAGCATCAACACCGTGCTGCCGTTTGCCAGCTCTTTCTTATGTCTGATTCCAATGTGTATACATATTTTGTTAACGTTATTTTTTACACAGTAATAAAAACTGACTATCAATTGTGGTTTACTTAAAAATTAAACGTAAAATGTACATCACAGAATAATTTATCAGATTTTGGAACAAAAGAATTCAAGGAAGTTATTTGAACTAAAGCGGAGTTGTGGTTTCTTTCGAGGAAGCAACATTTCTAGTAAAAGTAAAACTTGGTTTAAAAAATACAACTCGTGTTTTGTTACTCTTCACAGTGGAAGGTTATTTTGTTGATTCATCACACTTCAGTCTCTTCAGGGCTGGTTCCTCTGATGGCTCTGTGAATTAATAAAAAAACTGTTAAGAACTGAAAAAAGCAAGTTTTACTCAAAGAAAAAAATCCCACTAAAACACCTAAATCTCCAAGAAAATAAAATGACACATACTCTGTACATTAGTAACACAAACTGTATTTTCCAGCATATAAGTCAGTTTTTTTGCATAGATTTGCCAGTCATGTGATTTATATATGATTTTTTTTCATATTCATAACAATTTTTGACTCTTTAAATTGATAAGAACTGCAACAGTGAGTCCTCCCGTGCACACTCGCTTCGCTCAGTTGGTGCAGGTGGAGGAATGCGAGAGAGCTAGCAGCTCCATCCGCGATGGATGGAGCGCTCCCCAGGGAAAAATTAAGCTGTTTTGACCATTTAATAAATGCAACGGGTCAGCGGTGATGCATAATAAATGTGACTTATACTCAGGAGCGACTTATATGCCGGAAAATACGGCACTTAGTTTATGGTAAAGTTTAGCGTGATTGCTAGGCTTCTGAATGTAAATCACATGAACAGGTGGTAAAAGGATCATTTCCAGGCTCTTGTTTAGGTCATTAATGCTGAGGGTTAGATGGATATTTTATTAATATAATTTTTTTTAGTGCATTTAAATTTTATTCAACCAGGCAGCCATGTTTAGTTGTAAATAACATAAGAAAAGAGGACTATGTTCTGGGAAAACATCAGTTACGAGTTCATTCTTGTTTTGTTTTACATAAAGGGGAAAAACGTTTTGCTTTTCTCCACCTTTAAAAAAAATCTAATGCATTTTTTTTTTCTGTTTTAAAGAATAAAACCTTGGTAATTAAAAAAAAAAAGTTCAAAGATGACGACGTAGCATTAAACGTTTCTCCTTTGTTAGATGACTTGTTCTGCAAATCGTCTCTCACCTGTGCTGCTTTCATCGCTGCAGAAAAGAACCTCTTTAGGGATTGGGAATCGTACACACAGCATGTCTTTGTTGGGTGCTACATTGCGCACAAAATGCACAGAGCACTTGTTCTCCAGAGGGAAACCGAGGTTACGGGAAGCCCTCTCCACCACGTCCGCCTCAGGGTTTTCTTCTTTAGAGAAAGCATAGCAGTACACTGTGGGGAGGTTGAGCTCAGAGGTTGTTTCCAGCTGCAAAAGGCCTCTGAAGGCATCCAGAAACTCCAGAGCCAGCGCAGGCAGGTTCATCACTACATGAATACCACCTTCTCCTTTCATCAGAGAGCGCAACTCCTCTTTAAAAGGTCCTTGGATGAAGGCTCTGCCGTCCATATTAAAGGTTCGGACTTTGCTCTCCACCTTGTTGAGTTTGCAGTTGTGCTGCAGCCATTTGTAAGACTCAGGGTTGAGGTCGTTGGCCAAAACTTTGGCGCCTAATCGAGCAGCTGGGATGGCAAAAGGTCCAACGCCAGCAAACACATCAAAAACTGTGTCACCTCGTTTAACGAGCTGCACCACTCGCTGGTGCTCTGTACTCAGCCGAGGGTTCCAGTAAACACGAGAAAAATCAAATTCGTATGCCACCCCGTTTTCTTTCACCTGCAACAAGAACATATTTTGATGACAAACAATGGCGCCATTAAAATTAATCAAAGTTCATATTTAAATGCACCTACTTTGACAACCATGTTTTCTTCTCCAGCCAGCAACTCCATCTTGAAGTTCCGGTAGGTTGAGTCGATTATGTTTGTCTTATTCACCACACAGGTGACACCGGGATTTTTATCCATAATTACTTGACCTGAAGTTGAAGCAGCAAAATAAAAACAATCGGTCAATAGATCTAATACGTTTATAAAATTATTTAAGTATTAACTGTGTATCCTCACCTATGACGTTCTTGTAAGGGAGCTGGTGGTCTCTCAGGTTGAGGTGTGCGATGTGCCCCACCCGACTGAACCCTGAGGTCACCACCTGACCCTGAGGGAGCACCGCTTCCAGCACTTCATCGCTCTTCAGTTGGTCATAGGTCAGCTTCAGCTCATAGTTCTGCAGCTCCGCAGCAACACTAAACGACCTGAGCATCTCTGCTTCAGCCTCACTGAAGGAGCTTGCTGAGGACACACTGTGAGGATCCAGCAGCACCAACCGAAAGTCATCACTCCCCTCGTTGTCTTGAACCACTTTGAATAAGTTTGGTCGCTTGATGATGGACTTTTTCAGGCTCTTCAACACTTTATGTAAAACCCCGATGGGAACCCGTAGAGCTGGGACTGTAATAATCTGTGTGAAAGCATCTTTGTTCAGGGAGGTCATGCCTCGGACCTCTACAGGGGGTTGGTACAGTTTGGGCTCCATTACGATCTTAGCAGCAACTCCAGAATGGAGCAACTTAGCAGGTGAGAAGCTCTGATGTACAGATGCAGGTTTTAGATTTATCTGCGTTTGAAGTGATGCAAAAATTCTAGTGAGGATCCTGTTAATACAAAAAATAAACACAATTACTGCCATTATAAGGTAAAACAGTGTAAACACATAGGTCTGAAAGGTTAAAATATGCATTTGAAGCACCTAAGACTTTGCAATGTCACCTCTGAGGAAAGTTTGTCCGACAGTGACACATTAAAAAAAAAAATCAACCCATTTAGTTTATGGTAGTTTCCAAATACAATTGTATTGCAACATGTAAAAAGCACGGTGCAGAGGTGGTCGTTATTGTTTCTTAAATCGCTGACGCAAGCTTAAAAACCACATTTATTTCATCCACAGACAGAAACATAAGTTTCAAAGGAAAAAACGGCAACGTTTAAGATCTTCACGTATCAATAAAGGCATTTGTTTTTGAAGAGCGAGGCCACAAACATTTGCTATCATACTGAATAGAAAAACAACTGTCAAAAAGCTGAGATATTTCTTATTTTAATGGAAATTTTATAAAAATGAAACGCTCACCTTCTGTTCAGAAGCATGTTGAGATGACGTCATCAACGGCAGACCGTAGCTGAGTGGTGATTGGTCAATAGAGGGAAGCTTCGGTTTCTGATTGGACAGTTTTTTTATTTAGTATTAAACATGCGACGGAACAAGCTCGAACTTTCAACATCAACAAAAGAGTCGGAGTCGGTGGTGAGCAGCTGACGAGCTGATAAGAGAAGAGCTAAAAGGAGGAGAAAATGGTCATAGAAAGACTCTGGATTTGTGTCGTCCCGCTGACTTCAGGTGCTCGCGTCTGACCCGACTCCCTCTGCGTCATTTTTTTATTGTTTAAAAATGAGCATCAACAGCGATTTGCACTTAAATTTTTGCACCAAAAGCAACGTCGGAAGCACAGAGAGCTGCGAGACGACCCCTTTATTACAAAATGTAAGTGTTAACAAAGCAACGATATTATTGAGTTCACGCCTGACAGCTGAAGGACTGGGGTTTATTTTTTAAACTGGTATGCCAAATCTATGACAGCCAGCACATGATGATGAGCTGATCTTGGTAGTTTCAGTTCAGTTTCCTTTGTTTTTCCTCTGTCAGCACTATAAGAAGAGCTGACAGAGGAAGAAATATTGCTCAAATATCAGTAAGTCAAATGTGGAATTAAAATATATTTAACTGAGCAACCTGAAGGAATGTTTTACAAAGTTTAAATTCTGATTTCCTTCATTTCTCCATTTATATTGACATCTTTTTGTTGTGTAGGAAGTACTTTATGCTCTCTAGACTGATATAATAAGCCTTATTTATGAATTTATATTTGGTTTCCTTTTTTTTTAACTCATATTTTACTAATCTATTTCTCTCAGAAACGATACTCTCACTATATCTAGGTTGTCCTCAGCGTTGGATCAAAACACGCAACATAAACAGATTTTAAATCTTGTCCTTGTCTCTTCTATTATTCAGTGGAGTAAATGGTTTGAAAACGGTTTATTCATATAGACGTTAAAAAAAACTTTGTATTATTGTGGAAATTCAATTTATTTATCATGTTGCAAAGTTTGTGTTTGATATATTTTCCATTAGATATTAGGAAGAGTTATAAAACCATGTGAATTTGGTGTTTTGTGCTGTATTTTCAGGTTTCACCAGTGGCATCCATCTATTGGTTCACTTTTAAAACCAAACACTTCAAACAATCATACATCTCAGTATTTCTACAGCTAGCTTTTTAATAGCATATCATCAATGTGACTTCAACTACAAAGCATAAAATATGTAAACAAATACACCTCATTTTGGATTTTTTTATTTTTTTGCATTTCAGTGTAGCTTAACACGAGTCAGCTGATCACAAATACGCATATTTGTTTTTAAAACCCCACTTTCAGTAGATTTCAGCATATATGATTAAATCTTCTTGTTTTGCATTGCCTTTCTTCTGCCATTTTATATATATTTGTCTGGTTATTGCAGTGTACTTCCTGTCTTTCAGTACTGTAACAGGGTAAATCCAGCTGAGCAGCCCGCAGGTCAATCCAAGCTTGTTGTGACACTGACACCAGAGTTGCAGCTCGTTCTATCCAGGATATCCCCCATTAGAGAGGTCAAGCAGTTTGGGCAGCTCCCCTTATCCCAAGCTCAGGCAGCTGTCCCAGAGCCAGCAGCACAAATCCCACCCCGTCCATTCCCGTTTCTATCCCCTGATCCTGCATGCCACTGCAGTGTTGTTTTATGACATCCATCATCAGGTCAGGCCAGTTGTGATGAGAAAGCTACCTAAGGCTCCTACAACAATAATCATATTTCTTCCTCAGCTGCTTTTGTTAAACCTCATACTGCAGTCTTACCCTTTAATATTTCCTGTGGTGTTTGCAGGGAACAGTGCAAACCAGAGCCACAGGAGCCTCCTTTGCCTCTTCTGTCTTTAACCTGATGAATGCCATCATGGGCAGCGGGATACTTGGCCTTGCTTATGCTATGGCTAGCACAGGAATAGTTGGTTTTTCGTAAGATTTCTCTAACTATACCAGCATTTTCTTTTAATATTTGCTCCATATTTACAGTTCAACTAAATGACTTCAAGTGTATGCTCTGTCTTTATTTTCCAGCGTCCTGTTAGTATTGGTGGCCAGCCTGGCCTCATACTCTATACACCTCCTCCTGAGGCTTTGTGATCTAACAGGTGAGAGACTTCAAGCCCTATTTTGGATAACACATTCATGTAGGCCAATCTACAAGGATAAGTCTAGACTTCATACTCTGTGCCGTCTTTTCTTCTTTTACCCCTGATTGAATCAGTTTGTTGCAAAACAAGCTGATAATACAACAGATAATTTGCACTTTAGGTTGAAAGTCCTGGTCGGGGATGTTTGAGTAATGTTTGGAAGTGGATCAAAGGAGCCTAAAAAGAAGATAAAAAAAAAGATAATAGTAAGACGTACGAGCTGTTGACTACCACTAAATCCATTTTTAAAAGTTAATTCTGGTTACCAAACACACATTTAATGAAAAAAGAATATCCCCTCCTTTTACCTCCTTATTGTGAACGTGTATGCATATTCTCTTCCGCATATAAATTGTTTTTAAAATATTATTTTTTATTAAAACTGCTTTCTTAAACTGTAGGTATCAACTCGTATGAAGAACTTGGTGAGAAAGCTTTAAAGAAACCAGGAAAAGTACGTTTTTTTTCTTTTTGGATGCCAACCTGTTCACACGCTCAGGGTTTCTACGTAACCAGGCTAACATTCCTGCCTTCTTAAAATTCTCTCCAGATTATGGTTGGAATCGCTATTGTCGCCCAAAATATTGGTGGTAAGCTCATTTCATTATGCAGTAGCATACATTATTCCTGACATTTTGAATTTTTATGACAAAATACTATAAGCACTGCTTCAAGATCAGTTTAATTTTGGAGGAAGATACTGCCTCCTGCTGGTGAACACCAGGATTTATGATGAGATTATTGCTCCCCCCACACACACTCATTTTGTTAGGATTGTCTAGATTCCCTGATAACCTCTGACCCTGAAGCCACTGTCATTTCTGCCCTCTCCTCTGGACCTGAATCACAACTTCTCCCTTAACTGATCGCTGATGGTAAACCCACTCCTTTTGTACGGAGTGTAACTTATCGAGACCCTCCCTTTCATTTTCCTGTCTCAGACCACCATCTTACAGCTGAAAGCAGAGGCGGTTGCTCTCATGCCATCATTAGCGGCACAGCTGAGTAGATTACTGCTGTGTTTTCTGTTTGTGGTTTTCCCAGCGTGGGGCCGTGTGTGCAAGAGTGTGAGAGCCAGCACTCCAGCTTGCATGTGTCCATACCCCCAGCCCCTCTATAGAGTGCAATTAGCTTCACTCTGGGTAAACATTCATCTGCACTGCCAAAGGCTGATGGGCCAATTGACCTTAATTACTGACCAGCCCCTGGCTCTCGCAGCCTGCCTCTCTCCGTGCTCTTAATGAAATGAAAGTGGCTCTGTCCTTTGTTGAACACGCTCTCCAGCTATTTGCTGACCACACACAGAGGACTTACTTAAATGTTCCTTGAACTTTACATACATGCCTGTCATTAGTATCTGTTTTCTTACCACTTGGCCAATAACAATCTTCTTTGTTCATTCAAGGGTCTTTTTTTTGTTTAGAAACGTAAGTATTATCACACCTGTAGTTCCCATAGTAGTGTGGTGTTTAGTGACCAGCTGCATGAAGCTAAAGCATTGCATCATTTGTTGTGTGATTCTTCTGTTCAGTGTGTTTGTGTGTGTGTGTGTGTGTTTGATTTGTAGTTTGTTCAGATTGATGGATACGTTTTGTTGCCTCAAAATAACCCCCTTATTGACATATTTTAGTGCTTATTAATGCTAGTGGTTGTACGCGGAGAATGTGCTTGTGTCTGTGTGGGCTGGAGGGTTTTTGGAGGAATTTTCTTTTAAAAACAAATACAGGATCACAGGGATTATGGACAGGATTATTTAACCAAGAGTGCAATACCTGCTCTTAGGGCAGTAAGGTCCCGTCTAACCCTGCATATGCCTGGCTTCACAAATCTAAATCCCTTAAATTTACTCCATCTCATGACTGACACCCCTCACCCCCACCGCACCTGAAGCACCTCTTCACACCAAATGTGTTCCTTTTTAAAAAAATAAAAATTTTGCACTCTCCTTGTTGCTGCTGGAGTTTTGGGGGCTGACTCACAGGAAATGACCCCAATCCTTTGCTCTGATTGGCTGTCGGAGCATTCAGGGGAAGTATCCTGTTTCCTAGCGAGGTGGAGAAAGGGTGGAGGTACCTGGATTAGCGTCAGAGATCATTACTGTTAGCATTCCTGTTCCCCCTCCTCTTACAATTCTCCATCCTGGCTGCTCTGAAGACCAGTATAATGTGGGTTCTGGTGCTCCCCCCCCCCCCCCCCCACTGTCTTGCCATTTTCTCATGGTGTAAAATCATCCTCACATTTGTGTATTTGCTGGATTCACAATTTTATGTTTATTATGATTGTGTTTATTTTTTATGCCTTTCTCTCCTCAGCCATGTCGTCGTATTTGTTCATTTTGAAGTCAGAGCTTCCTGCAGCCATCTGCAGCTTCCTGAGCACAGAAAATACAGAGTGAGTACAGAACCGATCGCTCTTTTTTTTTTTTTTTTTTCCAAAACAAAACAGCTACTGGGAGACCTAGTTTTCATAAAAATGAGCTGCACTAAATAACACGAGTCATTCCTACTCCCATGATGTTCCAGAGAATATCTCTGGCTTTTCAAAAAAAGTCTGAATTGACCCAAGGCTACACCAACAAGAATGATAAATAATTCTGTGAACGAAAACCTCTCAGCTCGGTGTCTATTGAGCAAAATAGTGTCCAAAGGAAATGTATTCATGATGGAGGAAGCCATTCATCATTTATCAGCAGCCTTCATCTTTCATTGTCCCATAGATGCAGCTCCTGATCCTCGCAGATTAAAGTCCTCGGCCAAGAATGTAGTGTATATCACTTTATTATTGGCCACACTGGTTTAAGCGAGACTTGTAGCAGCTCTCAGCCCCATCTGTCAACATCTGACTCTTCCACACACAGCTGCTCTGTATTAGCGTGCTCTGTTCACCCCCTCCCACACAAAATCTCTCACACATGTTCCCCAGAATCAGACTGATACAAGGGGATATCAGTTTTGCCATTCTAATTACAGCTGATTGTGGTGGGGAGCAAAACATTTCTGTTAATGAGTGGCCTTGGGATGTTACCAGGCATGCTCCCGATTCCATCAACGCCTGAATAAATGAGTTGTTTGATATTAAAACGTGTTGCTTTTGGCCGGCTCATTTATTATAACGCAGCAAAGTGAAAACAGGCAGACTCAATCTCATTGTTTCTGGTTAAAAAAGTAAAAATAAATCAATAAAACTGTGCATACCGTTTTTTTTTATTTTTTTTTATTGGGTTTTAAACCAAGCTGCTGTTGGATTGTGCTGCATTTTGTTCAGATTTAAGCTAATCCCGAGAACTGTATGGACATTGACGTGTTCCACAGTTAACTCTGTGACGTGCACGTTCTTATTGCGGCTTTAAATGCTTTACATTTTATTGTTTGTGGTGGTATTCTAAAGTTTAATTCAAAATTTTTACACTTTTTTAACATTACTGTTCAATCTTTAGTTCTAAACTTATCTTGGAGTCGACCTGATTGACAAAAAGGTCAGAGCAAAGGTCACCTTGACATGCAGTTATGGGACAAAGTGTGTGGACACACAGACAGATCCATCAGCGCCTATAGTAACTCCACAGCTGTGGACGTGCCAAACGGGGGTCAGTGGGTGTTGATGTGGTTGGAGCAGGTGCTGCTGACTCTGGAAGCCCTCGTAAAGAAAAGTGGAGCCAGTCCCTCGTGACCCCGCACTGTGGTCCAACGTACAGCGGCCAGGAGCACCCTTCCCACCCAAACGCCGACCCCAGCGGAGCCGGCGAGTTTTCCGCATGTGTCACTTGAACATCGGCCCCTCCTTTTTCTCTTTAACTTCCCAATCCCAAATAAACTGCCAAGGCTGCTCCTCAGAGAAGGAAAATATTATTCTGTTCTCGAAAAACCCAGAGAGAGAGAAATGTGGTCCCATCTGATGGAGCGGCACAACGTTAGCATGTGAATTACATAATTGTTATGATTTGCAAGAGCTAAAGCCTTTAATTTGTTCCACATGACAAAACTGTCGCTTCCTATTTGAGCTCGAAATGGAGACGAATTTCCAGAACGTGTTTTTATCGCTTCAAAACACAAAATGATGATGACGAGAAATGTGGCTTATTTTAGCTTTAATTTTACACGTTTTGATGTTTTCAGAAACGCTTGGTATGCAGATGGCAGGCTGCTCCTGATTCTTGTCACAGTTTGTGTCGTTCTGCCTTTAGCCATGTTTCCCAAAATCGGTAAGAACTCTAAAATTCTTGATTTTTCTCCTCAGACTGGTTTGTTTTACTTTCTCTTACTGGGTTTTTCTCTCACTTACAGGCTTCCTGGGCTACACCAGCAGCCTTTCCTTCATCTTCATAGTATATTTTGCAATTGTGGTAAGCTTTGGCCTAAACACTCAAATAAGCGTCATCTGTTTTTCTTCTGTTGTTGACTCTGAATCATCTCGTCTCTAGGTTGTGGTGAAGAAATGGTCCATTCCCTGTCCTCTGCCTCACAATGGGACAAAACTGACGAGCACATTCAAGGTAGATGACTTCTTAACCATTGCACACAAATATATATCGGAAAAGATCCGATATACTAAAATGTGAAACTGAACTGGTCATATTTTTTTAAATAAAAGAACTAAAGTAGAATATCATAGTATTTGATAGAATATGTGTGTTCAGGTTTTGAACTTCTTCTGTGAGGCAGCGCTGGTGTGAGGTAGGTAGTTTTAACCAAACAGTCACGGTCACAAGACGAGGAGGAAAACTCAGGATATTGAGTTTAGTGATCGTGTCTGATTTGGCTGATGAGGACCAGAGAGACCTTCGGAGAGCTGTGCATGGTGAATAAAGCCAGTCCTAAAGGGAAGGAAGTCCAGGTGACCCTGTCTGATCCTGGAAATGAACTCTGACTTTTAGAAATTCTACACCGAGCAGTAACTCCAGACCTGGCGTGGATTAATTTACAGATTAACTTTGGGAAATTTGTTTCTCCTTAGCATCAAGGTTAAACTGTGAAAATATATTTCTACATGCTTTCTCTTTACGTCTTTGTTTCTGCAGATATCAAATGCCTCTGACTCAGAATGTACTCCCAAACTCTTCATCATGTCCGTCAGGGTGAGTATATAAAACTCCAGTGATTTTCTTTTTATTTCTCCCTGTTGTGCTCGTGCAGAGCCTTCGTGGTGGCAGTGAGAAGTTGTTGAATGCCAGTTGTTTGACTTTGCTGACAGGTCACACTCTCACCTATGAAGAGTTGGTGTGACTTTATGAGGAAGTCAAGCAGCACTTATTCTGCTGCCACTCACATTTATGTTGCATGTTGAGGCCACATGTAGACACAATTACATTCAGCACAAAGCTAAAAGAATTGGCTGCTTCTATTTCTGCAGTAGGTTAGGTTTGGTTTATTTGTCATACAAAATCAACACAATGTCAACAGTGCAGTGAAATGATTGGGACAAGAAGAACCGTCTCGACACGCAAAAAACCCCTAACAACAACAAGAAATACCAAAGCATGCAGCAAAAATACTAAAAACGTACTAAAAATACTACTAAAATACTAAAACGTACTAAAAATACTACTAAAATATTAAAATGTACTAAAAAATTTACTAAAATACTAAAAACGTACTAAAATACTAAAAACGTACTAAAATACTACTAAAATACTACCAAAATACTAAAAATTTACTAAAAAATACTACTACAATACTAAAAACGTACTAAAATACTAAAAATGTACTAAAAATACTACTACAATACTAAAAATGTACTAAAAATACTACTACAATACTAAAAACGTACTAAAAATACTACTAAATTACTAAAACCTTACTAAAAATACTACTAAAATACTAAAAACAAGGCGCTAAAGTTGAAAAAGTAATACATTTACAGTGTGGTTCGGTTAGCAGTGAGGTTCTTTCAGCAGCGTGGCTCTGTTCTGTTAGCGGCATGGTCTTGTTAGCAGCTTAGCAGGTCTTGTTAGCAGGTCCGGTCAGCAGCTTGATGGTAGTAAGGACTGCAGCAGCTGTCCTCACAGACCTCAGTCCAGAACCAGGTCCAGCAGACAGAGAACATCCAAGGTTTCCTCGCGGAACCGAACGGGTCCCTACTGCTTGTGCAGGCAGATGGAGGATCTTGTTAGCAGTGTTAGCAGGTCTTGTTAGCAGATCCGGTCAGCAGCTTGATGGTAATAGCGACTGCAGCAGCTACCCTCACAGACCACAGACCAGAATCAGGTCCAGCAGACAGAGAACATCCAAGGTTTCCCCGTAGAACCGAATGGGTCCGTAGAGTTCGGTCCGTGCAGGCAGATGGAGGATCCTGTTAGTAGCGTTAGCAGGCCCTGCTAGCAGCTTGATGATGATAACGACCGCAGCAGCTGCCCTAACAGACGGCAGTCTGGAGGCTTCAGAACCAGGTCCAGCAGACGGAGAACATCCAAGGTTTTCCCCGTGGAGCCAAACAGGTCCGTAGGGTTTGGTCCATGCAGGCAGATGGAGGATCATGGAGATGGTAAAGTGTTTATGAACTTGTAGTGGGGAGATATTTAGAGGACATTGCAAGAAAATTCACTCTGTAATCACAATAAGCAGCCTAGATGTTTATCCTCTCTGTCTTCCCTCCTGTGTAACACAGGAAGCTGATAATTTATTTTTATTTTTATTGCGACTAATATTTTGTTGCAGAGTGCCTACGCCATCCCCACCATGGCTTTCGCCTTTCTGTGCCACACAGCCATCCTGCCGATCTACTGTGAACTAGAACGGTCAGCCCTGCAGCATTAGGAAAAGAAACGACCCGTTCTGATGTAAACACTCGGCTCAGTGAATATCTGATGTCTTTTAGACCCTCCAAGTCCAGGATGCAGAATGTTTCAAACATCGGCATTGGCCTCAGCTTCCTGCTTTACTTCATTTCAGCTCTGTTCGGTTACCTCACCTTCTACGGTAAGCTTGAAGGGACACGTCATCAAGTTCCTGCTCTTCCTGCGCCTTCACTTGCTCGTCCTCTTCTTGTAGGTCATGTGGAATCTGAGCTGCTGCTTGGCTACAATGCGTACTTACCGCGAGACATCATGGTGATGACGGTCCGGGTGGCCATCCTCCTCTCTGTGCTGCTGACCGTACCGCTCATCCACTTCCCTGTGAGTCCACCAGACACAAAATCCATTTAGCTCAGTCGGGCTGAAGACGATCTGTTTACTCGTGCTTTAATTCAGATGTCTAACTCAGTTCTGTGAAACTTTGTAAAATCGAGTTTATTCATACAGGTGTGATTTCACTGGATGATAATGTAGTAATAAACAACATTTGAACCGCTCATGTTTGAAATGAACAAGTTCTGTTTGTGTGGGTGCCGTAGGCTCGTAAGGCTGTGACTCTGCTGCTGTTCGAAGGACGTGGCTTCTCCTGGCGGATCCACATCACCTCAACACTAATCCTCCTGAGCGTGGTGCTGATGCTGGCCATCTTTGTGCCCGATATCAGGAACGTGTTTGGAGTAGTAGGTATGAAATGTGTATTTTTAATCCAGGAAAGTAACTGCAAGTGTTGCTCCTCAGTCTCCTTTCAGCTGCAAAAAGGACATTAGGAGCAGCTAACATTTCCATATTCCACTGGTATTGATTGCCACTCCTGAAATTACACTGCCTGCTCGTGCATAATTAATGTTGCGCTCCTGATCTAACAGTTTATGAAGCCGCTGTTATCCGACATGCAGCTTATCTGCAGCTTTAGAGTCTTTCTTGTTCGTTTTTCAGGATCAACCATGTCCAGCTGCCTGCTGTTTGTTTTTCCGGGCATCTTCTACCTCAAGATCAGCAACCAGCCCCTCAGATCCATCGACTCTGCTGGGGTAAATCCTCAGTTTAATATTTATCACATGATTCAGGATATCTCGGCACTCACATTTTTTATATATATTTTTTTGTCTCTAGGCACTGATCCTTGTGGTCTTTGGAGTGATTATGGGTGCTATCAGTCTCACTGTCATCATTGTCACATGGATTATGAACTCCTGACCCCCTCTGGTCCAAAAAGAAAAAGCAAAAGGGAAAAAAAAGGGAAGCTTAAAACAAAGACAGTAAATGAAATTAAATGTACACGGCCTTAAATGACAAAAAAAACTTAAACTAAAATCTATGCTGTGAATAGATGGGAGTTATATCTGTTCTGGTCAAACCTTGTAAGGGTTGTTATGCACTAAGAGTATGTGTTGGAATGACTCTCGGCTACTACCACACCAAATTTTAGCTCAGCGTCTGTAAAACTGACATCATTTTAGCCACTTTTGTGTTTGCTGGGTTGAAGCCACCTCGTTGAATTGGCTTGACTCCAAAAGATAAACGGCTTTAGGCGTAGATTCAATGATTAGTTTATAAGTTTCATTAAAATCCGTCCACCTGTTCATGAGATATTTTGCTAATGTTGCAAACGCCCACAGACACGGGAGAAACATCATCGCCTCTTGGTGTGGCCGTTAGTAAAAAGGGAACTGAGAAACAAAGCGCATCTCAGGAGCATCATTTCTGATAAAGTTTTAAACACGTGTTTTTATACATTTTTTTTTAATATGCTGACAAACAAAATGAAAATTCAAGGCAGTTTACTTTTTATGTATATAAAATATATATTTCTAGTGCAAAGTGGAATTTGGTTTACTATGATTATTTTAATTTTTACTGTTTTAACTATTTTCTTTATGTGGACAACTGTGCACCTTAAATATGACACTTCAACTGTTCATTTAATGTTCTTTTGATTCCCCTTAAATCGTTTTAATTGTTTTTTATTTCACATACATTCCTGACGTTAAAATGTTCTGCTCTTTTCTGTGCAGCATTTTGTTTTATTGTGTTTTGACTGACTGGCATTAAATGAAAAAAGGATCTGTTTCATGTAATTAGTTGTCAGTTTGCTCACTTACCCACTAAAATGTATTAATCAACTCTCTGGAAGGCTCATCAGTCTGAATATGTCAGCCTGTTTGATTGACAGGAATGGTTATGATACAGATGTGCTCTTCTGTTAAACTCAGGCTCAGCTTGTAGCTAATGAAAGCCACATGCTCTGAACGTTTCTAATCATGAGCCGGTTTAGATCGTCTTTATGCTGCTTCTGAAAGTGTCCGCCACCTGACTGACTGCTGCTTTTAATCGGAGGGATCAGACAGGCTGCTGCTCTTGCAGGATGAAGTGTTTGTCATGTTTGAAATGTAGAGAGAGAGAAAATGGAGCAAAAGCAGCTGTTCTTCATGATGCATGTGTTTGGTTAGAGATGTATTTATCCTCATCTCAGGCTATTTAAACCTAAAACTTGATATAAACAAAAACTACAGAAACTGCATTTTTGTGAAACAGGTAGTGTAAATGCTGAGTGCTGAATGACTGCTGAAATTAGATGAAGAAGCTAAAACTGAATTAAAGTTTAAACTACCAGAACCAAAGCTAAAATGAGCTGAACTCAAGTTAAAAACTACAAGCAGAACGGTAGGTAAAAGTTAAAGGAAGCAAAACTGTAGCTATTAGCAGTAAAAAACGTATCAAAAAGGTATAAATCAGATACCAAAGCTAAAAATGAACAAAACAATAGCTAAAATGAGCAAAACAATAGCTAAAATGTCCTGATGCATGCT